CCCAGTATGCTTAATTTGTGGTGGGAACTTGGCAAACAACAAAAAGTCGAATGTTGCAAGACATTTCCAGAATAAACACACAGCCTTTGCTTAAAAATATCTGGATGGAGATGCAACACACTATATTTTTTTTTTAATACATGGCATAAAGGTAAAAAACGATAAATGCAGTGTTATCTTCATTTTAGATGTCAAAAGGGTTTTGTGGCTCCTGGTGTTTTCTTTTCTGTGGGAAATGGGTCCAAATGGCTCTTTGCGTGTTTAAGGTTGCTGACCCCTGACCTAACCTGTATGATGTCCTTCTGTGTTCTCACCTAGTTTTCTTGTGCTTAGAATCCCTCTCCCCCACCATTCTTCCTCTTCCCTATCCATACACCTAAGTCATCTCAGGTTCTTCACCTGACCTAGTCCCATGGAATTAGCACTAGTGCCAGTACCTCTCTGTCATGCATCTCTGATATAGAATGCCATCCCTTCTCCCATTACCTTAAAATTCCCATGAATTATTTTATGGCATCTGGTATCAGTTTCCTTCCTTCTCAAAGGTTTCCCTTATTTCACTCTAACTCTTTGTTTGAGATTCACAATCATCTTCCCCTGCCTCCTGTGTTCAGTCCCATTCCCATTCTCTCCTTTCAACTTCATGATTTACCCACCTTCTGCTGTGCAGTTAAAACACAAGAACTGTCAAGAGCAAACCAAATGTAGCACATCTGTGGAAACTGGGTGTCAACTAATGCAAGGGTGGAATTGAGATGGGGTCTGTGAAGGAAGGAGCAATTTTGGAAGATATGGGTATAATTGACTCAGTTGTGCAAGCTGATGGCATTCTGGGTTACATTTGCATTCCAGATGGTACCCATAATAGCTGCTGTGTTTAGCATGGGTCCCCATGATAATGGGTGGGTTTGTGATCATCATAGTCTTCCACTCACAACTTGAGAACTGCTATGGCCAATAAACTGAATCAGTAATGACATGCTCTCTCAGGACACGCATGGCTTTTCTTCATGGTCTCTGCCTGCGTGGAGCCTGTTACTGGGATGATTTACTTTGTAAGAGAGCTTTGGTGGGAACCCCTCCTCCTGCCACCCATTATAAAAGTTCCTACTCTTTCCCTCAGTTTTTCTTCTACTACTTTCAGTGCCTTGGAAAGTTCCTCTCCTTTAATGAGCTGTGTCAGCATTTTTCTTAAACCTGTCTTCTTAAAAAAGAGTGCCTTTTCCTATAAAAGCTGTTCTTTTTTTTCTTGCTCCATGGCTACTCTACCCTTACAGTTTACCTTCAAACAGACAAACAAACAACCCTCTTCTTCATTGCTCTTGATCTATTTCTCCTTTTTTCTACTCCTGTTCTGCTGCATTTCTCCTTCCTTGTCTTCTCCCAATGGCATTGAAGACTCCCTTGCACAAATGTGTGAGGTGCAGATCGGTTACCCAATGGATGGGCACTCACTTTTCCTTCTGTGTCTCAGTGATGGGTATCTGGTTGACCAAAGCCCTTCACTGCCAGGCTTTCATGAAACAGGCAAGAAAGCATCAGGCTGATTGCTTCCAGGAGGAACTGTGGAACAAAGCTCTCAGAGCGGTGGATGCCACTAACCCACCAGAACACCCCATCCATCAACTGCAAGATCCACATCCTCACCAAGGTGAGCCCTCAGCCAGAGTTCAGTTGCCACCTCTAACTCTGGGGAAATCCTTGAAACTGGAAAGGTGAAGAAGCTAGCCATAAAAGCTGAGGAGGCTACATTAAAGGAGTCATTAGCCATTAAACATAAGTAGTGGCAAACTGGCTCGCATTTTGTCCCAAACCCTAGGGAGCCACCTGTCCAAGGTGCCCCTGATGCAGAGCCAACCCAGTGCTGGAGCCACTCTTAGCTTCAGTCTTGGAGGGAAAGATCCAGGACATACCACTGCCCCATCTTCTCTTGGATGTTCTGAGCACAGGGCTCTCTGCTGTTCCATCACTAGCATGCCAGCAAGTGGAAGAGACTGACAGACAAAGGGATTGTTCCTGCTCCCACGTCTTGGATTGGGACGGAACATCTACATACCCGCCCCCCCACACCTTAACTGAGAATTTGACCCATGGGGCTTTCTTCATATTTCACAGACCCCGCATACGACCCATGGTTTAGACTTGTTTATTGCCCTGGCATCTATGTAGGATGAGACTGAACTGCCAGCATTCTTGTGACTGGCCAACTACATGTCACAGGCTGCTTGGAGGTACTGTTTGACCATGCCTACAGCCACCCTTGAAAGAGGGGCTCCAAGACTTCTGTTAGTCAGCCTCTTCAGAAAGATCAAAGAAAGGAAAGATGAAAAGCTCAGTTAGCAATGCTCCTTCACATTCCAGATCTGTGAAAGCCAAGAACAACAAATAGATGAAAGTACAGAATTTGAACTGAAAGATAGCTAAACTTAAATCTTTGTTTGCTAATGAAACTTGATTGGGTAGCCCTGAGCAAGCTATTCTCTCAGTCTAGCTTACTTTGCAGGGTTGTTATGAGGATAAAGAGATAACATGTACTGCCTTAATTGGAGGAAGGACAAGATACAGAAGAAAGTACATTAAAATAAATTCAAACAAGAAACCAAATTAAGGCTTAAGCTGTCACTAATGAAATTAATACCTCAGAGAAGAAACCCCATTTAACAGAAACAAAATAAAATCTATTAACTTCAATGCAACAAAAATACCATCATTGCCTATCTAAAATGTAGCAAAGAGGAGACCAATCTCACCTCCATGAGGAAAGAATTCCACAGCTGGGGTGCTTTCCCAGAGAAGGCTTTCTCCAGTCCTCTATCCAACTCGGACTCCATCAGTAGCTGGACACTTAAAATCAGACCCCCATCCTGTGTTTTTCTTGTTTAGAGCACAAGCTCATTTAAGGCATGGGTCTGCTGCTGCCATGTGTAGCTTGGCCTCTTGCCTCAGCCATCTGCTGCTGACTGGTACCACAGAGAGTGGTCAGGTCTGGACAGCCATGGGAAAAAGAAGCCACGACAGCTTCATGATTTGCCTACTAAATTCTTGTGGTGCACAGCTTACTACGAGTCACTTGAATCTGGCAAGATAGGTGCATGGTGGAAATGGCTTCAAAAGCACCCCAGAAACACTGGCTTGTTGTAGGTTCTGAGGTGGCTTTGAAGCCACCCCCACGTGGACACTTCACTAGGTTCAGACAACATGACAAACCATGTCATGGGGGTAATTAGGCAAACCGTATCACGTATGCCTGGCACATGTTGGGGTGCAGAAAAGAAGTCACTATGGCTTCTTTTCCTCATAATCATCCAAATCCAGACAATGCCCGGTACTGTGCCACATTGTGACTGCTTAGGGATTGTAACAAATAACAGAAGTTGCTGATAAAACTTTCAAAAACATAACTAATGTTTAGCTAGCACACTATTCAATTACTTCTCTGAACAAGAGACTTTACACAGCATACCTTTACTTTAAATCAGTTATCCTATTTCTTCCAAGAAATCTAATAGTTATAGATTTGTGCCATGTTAGCTTCAACAGCCATTGGTATTTTGAGGTACCAAAAAAACAGACTCAATAGCTCTGCGTAACATATATACCTGTCTAAATGGATGCTTGCTTTAAGAGCTCTATTCTTGAGTAAAGTACCAGTTTGTATCCTGAACCTGAGCCCCTCATTCTCCCCACCATCATTATCATTTTGCACCAAGCATGTGTGAGAAAGCGGCATCATATTTTACAGTTTTCCACTCAGTTTTATATTGTTTCTAACCCTTTTATGAGTTTATTTTATAGTGTTCAAACCTAAAGCCAGAGGCAGACAGAGGCAGACAGGAGGTTATATTAGCTGTCCTGAATCTAGAGTTTGATCTGGGCTTCTTTTGCAATATTAAGCAGAGAAATGATGTACAGTGGCAACATTTTTGGGATGTTATAGTCCTTGATTTGGAAATTCATTCTCACAGGATCCCGATCACCAAGCGAGCTAGCTCAGTTCTGTGGCAGTCTGTATTCTCCCAGTTTCCATCGGCATCTCTCTCTCTCTCTCTCTCTCTCTCTGCACAGGCACACAGGCGCGCGCGCACACACTTTCTCTCACAGAGAGAGAGAGAGAGAGAAGGAGAGAGAGTTGGATTTTATTTCTTTTATTTTCTTTCTTTTCCTTCTACCATATCATTTGGCAACCGGCTTTAGTGTCTCGAAAAAACCAAGCCGCCTGCCTCTTAACTGCTTGGTCTGCATAGCCGCATCTGCTAGGCAGTATGTGTAAGCAACAAATGTGTGGATCTCCAGCAGAATAGCGTGTGGTGGTGGTGGTGGTGGTGCTGCCGCCGCTGCAAAGCAGGGAGAAACAGGCTCGCTCCAGGCTTGCAGCGACTGAAAGCTGTTACCAGCCTTCAGATGGTATGTGCAGAGGGAGCTGACCGACCCTTGTCTGGGGCCCCAGCCGTTTAAGCTCTCTCTGGGTTACAACAACAACAACAACAAAAACCCTCCCCGCATGAATGGGACACACCCATTGACGGCACCGGCACAAAGAGCTCGAGGACCGTGAGAGCCCGTAGAGGTGGTGCGCTCTGGAGCGGGGGAGGCGTAGCAGGGATGGGGAGCTCTGGAAATCACGAATGGCTGCTGCTGCAGCAGCAGCTGCAAAGGCAAGACGATTTAATTTCCTCCATCTGCCCATCGTTTCGCTAGCCCACTTTAATGGCGACTCCTTTTCTTTTCTCCTTCAGATTTCTCTTTCCTCCCTCCCCTGCCCTCTCCCCAAATATTTAATAAAGAGGAAACGTAAATAATAACAATAAAGGCAGGAAGGATATTAAGGCCTCCCCCTCATCTGCTAATTACCATGAAGCCACATACGGCATCTGTTTATCACCTGGTTCTTGGTGCCCTTTGAAGCCCCTCTGCTTCATGGTTGAGGGAGACTAACAAATGGCCAAGGAAGAGGGGGGGGAAATGTATTTTAACTCTTTCTCTTGCTTTCTCTCTGCCAGAGCACCGATATTGCCAGGGGCTTTGAAAGAGGGTTGGAGCCGGAAAAGATCATCGGAGCCACAGACTCCTGTGGAGATTTGATGTTCCTAATGAAATGGTAAGTGTACGTTTTCAAACATGTTTAAGAAAATGACTAGCCTGTCTTTTTTGGTGTTTTGGTTTTTGTTCCCTCTACTCATTTTTCCCTGGGGGGGGGTGGGGCGGGGGGGGGTGAGGGAGAAAGAAAGAATCTTGGGTGAGATGCCACGGCTAAATGACCCGGGGGCAGTTCATTCCTGGGGCTTTGTTCTCCCTCAAGTGCCTGTTAAAGCCTCTGCATGGCCAATGCAGTCTACCCGGAACTTCAGTATTTTACGGTGTGAGAACAGAAGCCTGAGCCTCTCTGTGCCCCCCAAATGCACAGGGAGCACAGGAAATCCTTCTGGAAAGGGTTTGACTGGCCTCTTGTTTTTGCTCCTGGGCTTATCTCAGCTGGAAGCCTCTCTGTGGGCAGAGAGAGAGAGAGAGAGAGAGAGAGAGAGAGTTGCCTGTGCTGCATATGCAGCAGCTGCCCCTCCCCCACCTCTAGTGAAGACAAAGAGCCCTGAGCCTGGCTTATCTGCCTGGCAGAGGTTGTAGCACAGCTGTGTTGCAGGGAGCTGCTCTTGGCTCCCCCATCTGTCTCCCACCCCCGCCTCCCTCCCTGCACCTCCACCATGTTGCTCTCCTGGGAGAGCAGGTTGTCCCCCTGGCAGTGCAGCAAAGGAAATCAGGACTTGTCCTCCTTTTCTTTCCCTGAAGCTGGCTGCAGGACTGAGATGGATGGGGCTGCTCCTTGCAAGGCAGGGTGGGGGAGGGGACCCAGCGCTGCAGAGGTACTTGGAGAAGGGGTTGGAGGAAGCACCCTTCCCCCAAATGCAGAAGCCGACTTGATGGCTTCAGCCATCCTGGGTCATTTACTGTGTGAACAAATGCCATGGCATTCAAGGAGTAGCAGTGGGGATCTCAGTGGTAATGGGGAGGGGCAGATGTTCTGTTCACAGAACTGCTCTGTAGCAATTGTAATCCCTACCTGGAGCATCTCCTTTGTAGCTTATCACATGCGTTACATTCCCTGTTCCATGGCTGTGTATATGAGGCCCGAATCTCAAGGTAGCTTGTCCAAAGCAATGCATCAAAGGGAAGCTTGGTGCGCTCTGTGATTGATCACCTCTGAAGAGTCTGGTGTGTCATTTCCAGCTACCTTGCCTGAATTCTGAAGGGCAGGAAGTCTGTTTAGTTAAGCGAAGGCTCTGCAGATTAGCACAATAACATTTTGTGCACCCTTGAATGTGCAAGCATCTTTACAGTACTGACTTTGATTCTCATTATCTTGGAAGACAGGTTGCTGCTACTGCTGTTTTACAGTGGGAGCTGAAGGCACAAAGAATATGGTCTCTTCAGACTTTGATCTGAACCCAGGGCTTGTAGATACATGACTAAAACCATGGGACCACACTAACTCTCAGCCTAGTAACTTAACTAATTCAAATCTACCACTTAGCATTCCAGACAGTGGTGGGAGTGATTCCTGTTGCAAAATGGTGTAAAACATGTGGTAAGATTTTGCTACGTTAATTTGTATTGCTCTGAATTGTGCACACTTTTTAATCTTATCTTTGCAGCTGACATCATTCTGTGCTCATAAAAAAAAAAATTAAACAGCCCTCTTTTTTTAACTAATTCATTGAATTAAGGCCACAATTCTGTATCTATCTATTTGGAGTTGTTCTCATCAAACATAAGGATTATATTTTGAGGATATTTATGGGAAGGGTAACAGCTTACAATTTAATAAATAGCTTGTTTATTGTTGTAAGGCAAGGCCATCTTTAAGTATATTCTTTTTCATAAAATGTAGAAATATGGAATCTTCCACTTAATAACAGCAGGATTAGAGCCCACCTCTACTGTAGGATCTTGATGTAAAAAGATGCATTTCCACTGATCACTATCAAGTACAGTTATTGATGATAGTGATAAAGGCCTTTACTTTCCAGAGTGTAAGTGTCTGCTAACATTGGAAACAAACTTGGAAGGAAAAGCATGTCTTTTTTAAATCAAGTTTGATGCAGGATGGAGCCAGCATGTCTGTGAAGTCTCTACATTGGCAGACTGTTGGAGAGCTTTGATCCCATAGTATTTGCTTCTCATACCCTCTCATCAGTGATGTGTGTGGAAGGATGGAGGTTAATATGTGATGAACTCTTTGGTTGGTTGATTCATTGCACCAATTAATTGGTTAAAGCTTGCAGCCTTGATGTGTGTTAAGTTGCTTGGACTGGTAATTACTGCAGGCTATAGCATCTGGTAGTATGTGCTGTTGGGTAAGTAGCTGGATCCAGAGACTGTCCCCATCTCATGTATACTGAAATCCAGACAAAGCTAGTGAGGCACTGAGGCTTTGTCTACTTGAGGAGTTTAACCCATGTTTGTAGCATTTGCACTGGCTTCGCGGAAGGTATGGAAATTGATGCAGGAAGCCCCAGAAGGTTTTGAGCTTAAAGTAAGGCATTAAAATGTTTGCAGATGTGTATCCAGGGCAACTTTCTTCTCATTTCTCCTAATTTTAGTGATTTGGCTAAACTGGTTTGTTGTCTGGCATTCCTTTATCTTGTTGTCCCATCTTTTCCTATCCCAATTTTGGCAAGCTTATATTTCATCTGGTTGGTTGAATTTGCTTTATGTGTTACAATTGCACATTTATCTGTGATTTCTTAATCAGATTTATGTATTTGCCGTTCCCCTTGGGATTTTAAAATGGAAAATGTATTTTCAAAATACAATGCTGACTGTGAGAGATGGGGGGAAACGTACATGTGCACATGCACACACTCTTGTCTATAAAATAAGAAAATAACTATCAGTGCCTGCAAGATAGCCTTTTGGGGTCCTGCATCATAAACCTTGGGCTTGCTGACACTGCTTCAACAGTTTTTAAAAGTAGTCCAGTGCCTAATCCCTATTAAGGCATGCTTTAGGGACATGCTTTAGTCAATTAAAAATTGTTTTAAAATGTTTAAACCAGTTCACTCAGTAAATATTGCCATCCCACCTGAAACCACACAGTTCCCTGAAAGATTGAAGGGAGGCTCCTCTTTGTGTTTTCTTTCCTCATTTTCTGCAGTGCAACTTTAGTTCTGAAGTCCATTTCATGGATGGGGGAAGCTGCAGAGAAAAGGGCATGTGTGCACTTCATTAATCAGCGCAGGGGAGGAGAAATGAGCTTTCTTTTTGAACATGAATAGCAGTTAAAATGCCAGAGATATTCCAGTAGTTTCAGGCTTAATAACTGGAAATGGCCAGGCCAGGCCAGATCATCTGAGAGATGCCAACCCGTCCTTCAACCTGCCACCAAGAGGACTAAGAGCTGCAGTAGCAACAGAAATGCTGGCAGGCTTCTCTTACTTCCTTCTCAAAGGGGCTAACTCTGAAAACCAAATGTTTGGCCAGTGTATTAATGTTTTCACCAAAACAAGTAGGAGCAGGATGATGTACACTCAAATATCACCAGTGGAGTTAAAGCCTCAAAGTAGTTACCTTCCCTCCTGGTCTTGGGCTGGTGGACATTTGAAATGTATATAGTTGCCGCCTCTGATCCTGCTGCTTTCCTGCACTGCCACTTTCTTTTCAGCTTATAATATAGAATGTGTCTGCTTGATCAACTAGTGACCAGTTCTCCTTTTGTTGTTCTTCCTTTCCTCTTCAGGAAAGACACGGATGAGGCTGACCTGGTTCTAGCGAAAGAAGCCAATGTGAAGTGTCCTCAAATTGTGATAGCCTTTTATGAAGAGAGACTGACCTGGCATGCATACCCAGAAGACGCCGAAAACAAAGAGCGAGAAGCAGTGAAAAGCTAAAGTGGCCAGGGTCCTTCATCCACCCATAGTTGTACATATCCACCCTTCCTTCCCTTCCACCCAGATGCATCCATGAAAATGTGCTTATTACTGTGCTCGACAGGAGAAATGTTGATATTGGTTGGTTTAGTCATAACATAAATGGTGTGAGTTGTGTTGAGTTTCACTCAAGAGGTTGACATGCTGTGTGTGTTCCTCTCTCCCCTCATCTCAGAATCCCTAAAATGGTTCTTGTTTTGAAAGCCACCTCAGAGCTTCCGGGCCATTCCTCCTTGGCCTGGCTGTTCCGTTCTCCATCTACTACTTCCCTGTGTTGTATGTGGAGGGTTGTTGTCTCCCATTGCTCTAGAGGGCTGTTGTAACACTGACAGGAGCTGCCTGCATCCTGGGAAGACCTGTCCAGCTTGGATTCTGAGATTGCCCAAATAACAATCAAGCCAGGACCACATGGGGGCTCTTTCTAACTATTTTAAGAATGGCTGACAACATGCTGGAACTGGATTCCAGATTGTTCTCATCCTGGTTCCCAGTGCCAGCTTGGCTGTCAGCCCTACTCATTCCTACTTGGTGCTCTTCTTCTCTAGCTGCAGGGTAGGAGCAGGTAAATCTTAGGAGGGATCCAGCAGAGACTTATTAGCTGGCAAAAAGGACCCTTTCCCCTTCTAGCCTGTTCTTTATTGTAGTCAAACTAGTATCCTTCTGCTCTCTCCACTTTAATTTTTCTTTCTTTGCATTAACAGCGCATTACATAGATAGCCCAGCTAAATTTTCTGTCTTCTTTGAGATCCCTCTTTGTCACTAGCTGTCCCCCTCCCTTTCCCCACCAAAACCATTGCTTCCAAAATGTGATTGTTTATAGGATGTATCATCATTTGGATGAGTCCCCGAGGTGCTGCTTTGCATGCAGCAGGCTTTTCTAGCATAATCACCTCTGTTTGAAAGAGACCTTTCATTCTGGGATCTGGGCCTACTCTTCTTTCCATGAAAAGTCATTTTGAAGGAAATCAACTACCTGAGTAGTCTCTTCTTACAGGCACCTGGCTGTGTCTTGTTACGCATAGCAGACCAATCTAGAAACAGCTCAGAAGATGCAAGTAGTGTTCCAGAGGGGCATTTTTATTTTGTTTGGCTGGCACCTGAAGCATGTAGCATTTCTCTGCCCCAGCAGTGGGGCAGTTGAATAAGTCTATATTTAGGATGTTGGGATTGTTAAAGTAGTTGTGCCAGCAGTTGCTTTCCTCTTGTTCCATCTGATGAAAGTTTGGAGGACCAAGTCACAGAAAACTGGTAGTGGACTTCTCCGTAGTGCCCATTCCCCATGATAATTGCCCATGCATGTTTTTTTTTCACATGGAATGTCTGTCTTGTGTAGTATAGGTGGGACTTCAGGGCCTTTCAGAATTTGATGTTCACTAAAGTTTTCATCTTCACTCTCCCTCCTTGCAGACAGCCCGTGCTGCATCTTTCGACAAGCAAAAGCAATGCTGACAGTATTAACATTGATCAGCACTGGCCTCCCACCGGCTGAATTTTTGGGTGCCTGATGGCCATTAAGGGTTGTGCCAGCTGGTAATATACTTGATGGGAGCCTGCACAAAGATTAATTTTGACAGGAGGCAGACTTCTTTTACTGTAGAATTGAAATGCCTATGGCCTTTGTGTTACCTTCAGATCTCTTTTCTGGGGCTAGGGCTTGGTTTCCCCCCTCCCCCGGCCCATCTTATTAACCCTATGATGCTCTTCCAGCTATTTTCTTCTTGCTGCTTTATAGGGATAGGAGGGTGAGGCGTTTTCTACCAGTGCTTGATATTAAATCCCAACTCAATTTTCCTGCTTGCCTCAGTTTGGCATTGTGAACTTCTGTTTTCTCTGTTTTCATGAGGGGTGGCTCCCCACACTTCCATTCTAGGCCTCAGTTCTAAGTTCTGTAACCCTGTCAGGAATTGCTACTTGTTGGCAATTTGTGGTACGGTAACATGAATCTGTGCTGCTAGTAGTGACTCCTGTGTCACCAGTGGACTTCCTTGTTCCCAGCAGTGCTGACTGTCGAATGCCCATGGCGAGAGTCACTTTTTCAGAATTCTTCCAGCTCAGTTGCTGGATGTAGTCATGACAACCATATCGGGACAAAAAGCCATTTATAAAAGGGAATTGTGTTTTGCTTAGCACCTAATGTGGGATACCTGTATGGCATCCCTCTTCAGAGGATGCCTGGCCCCAGGACTGGTGCAACCCCTGCAGCTTTGCTAAACAGACTTTGCAACTTGCTGGGGCCAATTAGACCAGCTTCTAGTGCAGCCTTCCCAAGCCTTGGCGCCTTTCAGATTTACTGAGCTCTCAGTGGTCCCCAGGTAGCCTTACTGGCTGGGGAATGCTGGGCATTGAAGTTCAAGTCAGCACATCTGGAGGATACCAGGTCAGGGAAGGTTTTGCCACTCTACTGTCTGTTTCCCCCAGAGCACACTAGTACCTGTTGACCATAGTGGGTAGATGGTTTATTTTGTTCAGGTAGATATGCTTTTAATGTTTCTGTTCTGGAACCCCTTACTTGGCATGGATAACCATCATGAAAGTGCGACACTCAAGTGGTCTTTAGTTATGTTGTAGAGATTGGTAAAGAATAAAGCTGCAGCTCTGCATTACTGGTGTCCATTTGAGAAGTGCCAAATGCAAACAGAACCACAACATCAGTTGCCTGACACTGGATGTCGCACAGGTTGTCTGCATTGAGTTGCTGACCAGCATACAGCTCTTGATTTCCTTGGAGCTTTTCATAGCTCTTGACAGCATTGACCTGCATTAGCTTTCCTCTGTATTAGCATCTTTTCAACACCACTCCCCACCCCCACCCCACATGCTGAGCTGAGAAAAGGTAGCATCTGTTAAACGGGATTTGTGAGGAAGGATAGAGTTAATAGCCTGTTTGCATTTAGTCTGTACTACTTGTCAGGGTCCAGGGCATAGGCAGCAAGAAGCTAGATAGGCGCAGGGACCAAGGCAATACAGGCAAGATATTCTAAGTCCAAACACAAGTCCAAGTTACAATTTCAAACAGACCAAGGTCAAACGAGAGATGATGTGGGATACGGTGAAATCTGGTAGACAAATGCGGTCAGAACAGGACAGAGGTCAGGAGTGGTAAAGACTACACAACTGGGAACTGGCTCCTGGGAGCAGGATGACAAGGAGGGGTCCTGGAGGAGCAAGATGGAGCAAGCAAGGTAGGAGCAGGCGAAGATCCTGGGGGCATGGTCCATAGGCAGTACCTGGCAGGAAGCACCACAACAAGCCAGGACGCCTCCATTGCTAAGGCAAAGACTGAAGGGAAGAGCCTGTTCTCATATAGCACAGGGCCAAACGGAGGCTCGGGAGCCACATGCTGCTGTTTGAGCTTACTCTGCAGCTCACTGCTGCAGGTGCCCACTTGCCACCTGCCTGCACTGCCTGCTTGCTGCCTGTCATTTGCAGGCACTGCCCATGGGAGCTCACTCGTGACTCTCAGACATAACGCCATTTATCATATGTGGCTCTTCCACTGGGCAAGTCTGGCCACCCCTGTTATATAGGTCTTCCCCCAGGTCTGCTAGCTGTTGCCCCGTAGAGCCAGAGAGCTTCAGTGAAGCAGGGCCCTACTCCTGCACTGACTGCTGCAGCTATGGAGCTGCAGAGCAAGGCCTCAGTCCTGCATTCACTCCTGCAGAGCGTTCAGATCCTGACATTTGTGTACTGTGAATAATCCCCTTGGGGAGTTTTTGCGACAAGAGGACTTTAAGGTTCTGCAAATTTTGCATATTACCACCTTAAAAGAAAGAAACCTCCCTGTGTTCCATACTCTTGCCTGCGCTGGAAGTTGACTTCTCTTGCTTAGTCTCTTTCTGCCTCCTGTTCTCTAGTTATAGCTGTTGGAGAGGACTACTCACTGTACACTCCATTCTTAACATGAAAGATGGAAAAAGCAAGTAGGTTCAGGGAGTCCTCTTAATTTTGTACTGTTATGAGCCATCTGTTTGAATTGAAGCAATGTGGGAAGGGGGTAAGGCCCTGGATGTTTGTGCTACTGCATGTGTTTAATGTACTCAGCTCACCAACTCAAGTGAGGGTTCCAACTCATAGCTTCTGGAAAAAAAGAGAATTAGGTGGTTTTAACCTAATGCTACTTAACAAGAGAGATGCAGGGGGGCAGGAGCGTGTTGAACTGGAACCGGGAAGCACATGTAAAATCTGGAAAGGCAGAGGCGGCACAGTCCTTGTCTTGCTGTTGCTTCCACTTAGCCCAGCAGAGGGCCCTGTGATAGCCCTTCCCTGCTTTTTGGATCAGGCTAGTGTGTTGTATCACTTGCCAGGAGTTTTCCTTGCATTGTCTGGAATTGGGGCAAGTGGACAGACAGGTAAAGAGGAAGCCTCTGCAGTCCACAATGAGTTCTCCCAGGGCTCAAAGTATTTGCTGCCTGGAAACCCCTTTCCTGTGCTGCAATTCTGCGGAACTAGGCGGAGAATTTCCCCATTGTTCCTAGCTCCTTGGGCTTCGCAGCCCACACCTCCAGAGCAGAATCAAGTTGATTTCTGAAGAATGTATGGCTAAATAAGAGCCATTTCCTTCACAAGTGTTGCTGACTTTGGAGACCCTCTCTTTAAAAAGCATGCAGTTCCACCATCTCATACAGTGCTTGTCACACTTCTTTCTTGTTGCTGTAGAGTGTGTAGGAGTAGAAACAACAGAGGTGGGAGTACTGAATGCACATCTTCTTATATACACACAGAAACACACTCTGCAGCCTCAACACCTTTTTGTTTTGTTTTTGAGAACTGCTGCAAATAGACAGTTTCAGCTCTACCTGATTTCCTTTCTGGTGATTTTAAATGCTTGTGTATTGGGCTTAAAAAGCAAGCAGGCAAAGGCATCTGTTAGGAAATTAATAGGCATTTGATAATGCAATTGTCCATGGGGATTATATGTAATTTTACATCCATACCTAGGGAAAGATAGGGGAATTTCTGCAAACAATTGTGCTATGATTTCTCAGAGGTGTGACTTTTGCTCTTGTATGCTGTCCAGTTTTCCCTTGTGAGTGTGTGCGTGAGTGATACTTTTCCAAGTGAGGAAAATAGCTAAAATTACTAGGATGCCATCCTACCCACCTGCCCTCTTGTTTTGGGGTGTGTGTACACGCCATTAGTTTGAAAAAGCACATCAAACCTTTCTCAGCTGTCAGGAGGTCCTCCTTGTCAAGTTAAATGCCCCAACAAAATGGGTCAGGGTGAAAGGTTGCTTAACTTGCTAAGAGAAATCGAAAATGCCTCTCAGTGGGCAGAAATGTTGGGAACTACCAGCCTTTTAACAAGTTTCACCATGTGAACTGATGCTGTGCTGCAACCTTGTTCAAAGGAGTTCTTTTTTCTAAGAGGGAGAAGTTCTTTTAATTTTATCCAAAAAAGTGAAGCTAGATTCCTATATACCAGAAAAGGGAATTTTTTGCAGTTTCCTTCCTTCAGCTGAAGATTCTGTATGTTTGGTGTGTTTCTTAGTGCAGTAGAACAAGCCAGCTGATTCAAAACATCCAGGATTTCTAAGCCATTCATGCTGCATTTAGGTGGCTTCTGAACTGATTCCACCTCCTCACTTTTTGGCTCTTGGGCTCAGTGTTTCAATGGCAAAGCAAAACACTTTGATGTTAGGGTTTTTGTTTTGTTTTGGTGTCTCCTTATATTTGGAGGTTGTGGGGATGCGATATATGTGCGTGATGAGTACAGAGGTTTGAATCACAGATCCAGGTTTTCATTAAAGGTTCATAACTGCTTTGTGTGTGTATGTTTGTGGGTTGTTTAAAAAATAGAAATACTTGGATTTTTAAATAGAGTACTTCCTCTCAGAATTTATCATGGATTAAGTTCATGGTGAGACATTCAATTTGCAGGTGCAGTCTTCTGACGCACCCCATTCTTAGCATGCTGTCAAAAAATGAATTGTCTCCCTAGTCGCCTAGGAGAATGGAATAAAATACAGAGAGAGAGAATTAATTTTGTTTTAATTAAACTCATTAATTTTTTGATTAACAGTCTAATTTTTACCTGAGGTGGCATCTAAATCTTTTCTTGGCTGTATGGGCTGTAATGACATGCTGTCTCCACCCACCAGTGGGAACAGTGGAAAAGGCAGGGGCGGGGGGGGGGAGCCATGCATCCATCCAGCAAGAGATGAATTTTCTCAGATCCCTTATGTTACAGCTGCCTTTTGTTTGAAACATGACCCTACTGCATTAGATTTCGCCTGCAACTTCTGCCAGAATTGTAAGACCAGCAGTCTGCTGCTTAACTCTGTGGAAGAATACTTGCCTTTGTTTGGGCTATTGTGATTTCTGTTAACAGATTATTTGTTGTTATTTTAAAGATGCCTTTTTAAAAGCTCTGAAGTATTTTGAGTTATATCCCCAGCATAGGGGACTTACGGTGCCAGGTCTTAGCATCTTGTTTCCAAGAGACAAAGGGCACAAATTCGCTGGGAGTTTCCCTTGTTGAAGCTCCTTAGTAATGAATGCATGACAGCAGAGACGATACCTCACTTCATCACTTCAAAAGCAAATGCCCAGATTTCTTTTCCCAGGGAGGTAGCTTATGTAGCTGCTCTGCTTGTGGTTGAGATTTTTTTATTTGGTTGTTGCCTCTTTTTTGCCTGGATCCAACTGTACTTGTGGCATACAAGATTGCCTAGATTGTTCATAACATGCTGAAGGTGCAGTTTTACATGAGGCACTTTGAAAGACTTGCAGATACATGTAAAATTGCAACTTTTGCTTGTGACAAATGATTTGGATGACCCTTGGACATTTGGTCTATGGAAAAACAGGCAGAAAAACAAGCCTCAAACACATGCCAAGTGGCTGAATGAGAGAACCCTGACGGTCTGCGGCTAAGAAGCAGGGGCTGGGCAAGGAAGCTGAAACATCCCTAGGTTCTGTATAATCAGTGTTACAATTCTAATGAAAAGGGGGAGGTAAGCTTTACTGGGGGGGGGGGGAGGTCTCCCCTCCCGATTCCAGTAACATGTTACCGTCCACAGCAGATTGTCGGTGAACTTTTGGCTGCGTGTGTGTGTGTGTCTGTGTTAGCCCCCACTCCTTTCTGGTGACATTTTAGCCAAGCCCTTGGATTCCAAGCTCATGTATGTTACGCTGGTTTTTAAAGTGTGAACATGATTTTTAAAATACGGAACTACTTGTTGTACAATTTGACATGTTACAAACCTCTCTCTCCTCTGACTTGTATCCCTCATCCCCACTCTTTCATACTTCTTGTATTGGTTCTAATAAATGGTTACTTTTCAATACAGGCTGTTGTTCCTTTGCCTCCCACTGCCTCCCCCCCCCCCACCCCGAAGCCTTCCAATACTTGTTTTGAATGGTTGCTGTGTAGATCTAGAGGCTGTGCTAGAGAGGGCAGGCAGTCGAAGCCACCAGCCCCAGTAGCATAACCGTGCTTGTTCATATGACATCGGTGGCCACCCTATTTGAAACATCGGTGGACTTCAGCTTTTCCAGAACTAGAATCTGGTGTTCACTTTCTCTTCTGCTCTCTCTGAGGCTCTGCTGCTCCCCACCCCCTCTTCTGTGCAGCGCAGGCAGGATACCTGAGCAGACTGCTAATGCCCTTCTGTGCATTGGCCTCCATTTTAGATTCCTTGAAGATGTTTCTCATCCATTCTTTCTTGACAGTGGGTGGGTGAGAGAGAAGCAGCAGCACTACTTTAACTTATTGTCAAACCCTGACCTGCCAGGGGGCACATACCTTTGCTTGGGGAGCTTTAGGTTTTACTTTGGTCCCTTGCAGCAATTGCATAGGCCCGATTTGCCATTGCTGCAGTGAGTCTCTCCAGGTGGAAGCTTTGTCCTAAGGGTTTGTTCTGAAGGAAACCAGCAGAATTCTCCTGTTCCCAGTAGTTACTCTTGCTTTCTCCCAAGACATGTAATAGCTGATGATCCCAGCCATCCAGGGGTCTGTTTTGGGGAGCAGAATGTAATGTAGTAGTGGAAGACTGGAAAGAAGTGGGGAATAGTCTTTGCAAAAGAGGCATTAAATGCATCTCCCTCCACAGGTTGATGGAAGAAAAAGGAAGAACTGCCTGTTTAGTGTCTGGAAGAGAAAAGAGCAATAAAGACTCTCTGTGGTCACAATTTGCACTATTAAGCAGTGATACTAATTTATTGTGATGGTTGCCAAAGGTTTAATATAAATGTTGCTAGGTGGGCCTTCTAGATGTCTTGCAGGCACAGAGACTCTCTTGGAACCTTCATGCCTCTTAAGAGTGCCTTCCTTGTATAAATACAGCGTTCTAACATTGTTAAATCACATGCCCATCATTGAGAAGCATCATGTCCCAGGAGGGGCAATTGACCGATCTCTATCTTCTAAAAAATATAACATCTTTTAGGCTTGTGATGATTCTGTTACGAGGACATGATAGGCATGTGTGTTGCCAAGAAGCAACAGTACAGAACACAATGAACACACTGTGGGTGAAGGAAAGATTCTATTAAGCAGGAACTAATGAACAGAGCAGAAGTCTATAGAAGAACACTGCAATGTAATGATTTCCGTGAGCATCTGCAAAGCAAGCAAGTAATGCTTATGTCCTTACTCCCACTGGCTTAACATCATTCTGCCCTTCAGCATCAGTGTTAGACTTGACACTGATACGGCTTTTTTTTATGCAGCACCTTTCTGGGTCAACCTGTGTCAAAGTTTCCTCACCCTGGGAGTGTCTCAGAAATTCATCTATATATTATGCTCCTCATGATTCCTTTCCTGGTCTGCAGCTGTACTGCACTGACTTTTAGAATGTTTGGCAGTCGGCCAACATAGATAAGATGATACTGGCTACCTCCAAAAACAAGTGGGCAACCTTGAGGTCTTGCCAGAAGCTTATCAGTCAGCTCCTCAAGCCTGTATGGTCTCAGCCCCATAATTGGCCCTAGGAACCAATGAGAAGAAGCAGCTTCACTAACCACTAAAAAAAAAGTCCAACTGGAATTTTAGATAGGAGAAGGAGCAGTTTGTGCACCACTAACTCCCCAAAATGACAGTTTGCACTTCCACTAAGGTATGTTAACATCTCAGTTATTGTTGCTTGTTCCTGGGTAGCCTCGTAGCATATCCTAATGTGATGCCATCCCTCAAAACATTAGGTTATCCATGAAAAGGCCTCTTCCATAGGATGGATGAAATCGTGTCTGGACTGCAAACAGACTGACAATGGCTATCAGGAAAAATGCACCTGTTTTAAAATGGGCTTTGTGGCTGTCACAGAAGGTCCCCATTCCTAATACATAATTCCTGAGATGCTCAACATCACGACAGCTGGAGTTTGTGTAGAGGGAGAACACAGACATGGCAGAGTATGACTTGACCTTGCCTTCAGATGCCTGTCAGTGCAGGTGAGGTCAGTGTTCTCCAACCAGCTGCCCTCTAGAGGTTTTCCACATCCCCAGCCAGTCAAGAATTCTGGGAGTTGTCATCTAAGGCATTTGATGGGTCCCAAGCTTGAGGAAGGCTGAGTTAAGAACATCTGCTGACATGGCTGGAGGCCAACTTCAACCCTTACCACAACGGTGTCACCAAATGCTTCTCAGTACTTTTCTGTGTGGGAGAAAGCATGGTGGTAGTTCACTGAACTAAAAGAAAAGCCAAGGGAATGCTGATGCTTGCCATATTTGTTTGCTTCTCCTCTTGACCCTAGTCATTAATGGTCAGATCTGCTGCTTTTTGCAGAGCCACAAGGTGGGTCTTTTTCTCTTGGTCACCCTGTGGTGTGACAAAATATTGAGACACACGAGACCATAAAAAGGCAGAGTGTCCTCCTCCTTAAAAGGACTGTTCCTATTCAGTGTTGCAGCTCTTGATCCATTTTTCTTTCCTAACTACCATGGCTATCAAGCATTCTCAATCCTCATTGGGTGGTTGAGGGAAAGTATGTTAAGGTTTAAACTAGGGCAACTTGTGATCTCCAGTTGTTTTGGCCACTACTCCCATCAGCCCCAATATGGTGATGGATCATGAAAACATCTGTAGGATCACGAGTTATTCTGCTCTGGTTTAAACAATTGTTGTTTGTTGGGTGTGCATTTGCAACCCTTAGACTCCCCAATGAGTGTGTGGATTCCACCCTCTTTTTTCACAGCCCTATTTTGGCTGTAGTTCTGCCTGAACACTAGGACTCCCTATGAGGAGAGGTATTATGGGGTCTTTGCCAAGTGGATCAGGATAAGGACAATCCATTATTCACCTACATTATTCATTGCCACCCAATGTGGTGATGCCCACTGAATTAGATTATTACTATTATTGCATTACATGCCTATCCCATGATTTTCCTCTTGTGAGGAGCCCAAGGTAACTTGCGCAGTTCTGTTCTCCTTTGCTCCCTTTTATTCTCACAACAGCCCTGTGAAGTAGGCTAGGCTGAGATGGACTTGTCACCCAGTGAACTTCCTGGCTGAGCATAGGCTAGAACATAGATCTCCTGGATCCCCAGCCTAATGCTTGCTTCATTATACCAAACTGATGTGTGAAAGGGGATTGGGCTTGCAGTAAAATGTAGGAACATTTCAAGATCATTTCCTAACAATACCAATTAGTATAACAACAATGATATCCCCTTTTCATTCCAAAGTGGTTCACTTCCGTTAAAAAAAAAAGGGGCCAAGATGATCGTCCTGCTCAGATAGCAGTTCTTACTCCTTTGGCCCATGGATTGGTCTGGAGTGTTCCTGCTGGTGATGAATCGGTTGTGAATTGTTTCTTTGTCCCAGAAACCTGAAGTGCATCTGGAAACCTGCATAGCACCTGACAGATTCAATTTAAGTCTACAGCTTCCTCTTACACTCCATCTTGAGACTATGATTGAACCCAGACTTTGTGGCTGCATCCTCAAACCCCTCTGCTCCTCTGCAGCCACTGCTAAACATCTGGCTTGATGAAGTGTTCTGGAGAGTGCAAAATCTTGCTCCTTATTTATTTATTTATTTATTTACTGCATGTTTATCCTGCTTTTCAGACCATTACTGTCTCCCAAAGTGGCTCGTGTCAGTCAAAAAAGAAAGACAGGCCCTGCCTCCAGGCTTACAAATTAAAAGACAAGACACACAAGGGAAGAGGAGAAAGAAGAGAAAAGGGATCAGACTTTCAAGGCCAAACAAGGCAGTGAGCTCTGAGCAGGCATTTTTATCTAGCCTTGCTGATAGTCCTGCTTGGATACCTGGTAGTCCTTCTCCCTTTGGTTGATGCATGGGGCCAGAGGGCCTTTCCCTGATTTTCTGCAGTCCCAGGGGACAACTGGAGTTGGGACCAAGTGTCTCTTCTGCCAGGGACTGGGGAAGCACACTCCCCACAGTGGCTGCTTCTCGGGTCAGGGGATGACCAGGTTATTTCCCCATGGGCTTGATGTCATTCTGGGAAGCAGCTTTCTGCTCGGTCTGATGGCAGAAGCTGGAGTGGGCTTGCTTTCTGCTCTCCAGTCCCAGGCTTATGGACAAGTCTTTGCTCTGGCATGGTGTGGGAGCCTCTGCTATAATTTAGCTTTTGGCCGATCACAGGGTAAGAAATCTGCAAGGGATTTAAAAGGCCCTAATGTGGAAGCGACCCATGAACTGGGCTAACTTCTTAGGATGTGTGACAGCATGGCTGAGTCAGAGCAGAAAGGCAGCCAGCTCTTACAGCAGCTCCTCTGGAGTACTGCTTGTTTTCTTTTAAAAATATTGTAATTTTAGGCTTTTTTTCTGGGCATCCAACAATCCAAACCAAAAATTGAAGCAATACAACATTATTAAAATATTTGAAAGGTCAAGGTTAAGGGACTTTTCAAAAGATACAGCAGCCAGCACAAAATAATGATCACAAATTGTAGCAACGCAGGAATATAACAATGGTAGATCTGATAAGATCACATCATGGAGTTTGGGGTTTCTCAGGGATCGATCTTGTAAATGCTGAATAACACCAGAGACATGAAACCTCTGAGTTTTGGAGAGTGTTGCCATCCATATGGTGATGACATGCAGTTCTGTCTTCAGCTGGTGAGGCTGTGGATGTGCTAAACTGATGCCTGACTGACATTGGACTGGGTGAAGGCTAACACACTGAAGCTCAGTCCTAGCAAGATCATGTTTTTGCTGGTGGTGGTTCTGAGCGGATGGGGGAAGCCAACCTGTTTCAGCTGGGGTTGCAGTCCCTTTCAAGGAGCAGGTGTGTTGCCTGGGGATGCTCCTTGATCTCTCTTTGTCAGCTGACATGAGGCTGCCCGTGAAAACAGTTTGGAAGCTGCAGCTTGTGCAAAA